ACAGGTGTGTTTGTGCGTCACCTGTCGATCAGCGAGTCCCTCATGCTGGTGGCGATGGCGGAGGGCTGCGCCGTGTCGCCGAGTCTGAACACGCTCTCGATGACCGACAGCTCCGTGCTGGTCGTGTCCAGGCCGCAGAACGCGCTCCAGTCGTTGACCACCATCCCCGCCGCGATGACCTCGCTGCCCCGGTTCACCGTGCCCGCCTGAACAGGAAGTCGGTGACAGAAATTACAATGCGTCTCGTACCGTCGAGTTCACGTGACGGCGTGCAGGCTGCACTCACCACCAGGGGCACCTGCAGCAGCGACGACAGCTCGTCCTGATCTTCTATCGACGTCTTCGGGTGGACGAGGCCGCCCTGGTTGCTGAAGGCGCAGTACGAGCCGACCAGGACCTGCTCCGCTATCGTCTGACGGAAAACCTCCACCTTCAGCGTGTCCGCCAGGATCTCCTCTGTCTCCTGGGAACAGAGTGAGTGTCAACATGAACCCGGGGAAACCCATACTGCTGTCACAGCCACAGATTCTTGTATTCAACCACACACGAACACGGCGCTGTTTTAATTTAATGTTTGACATAAACGCTGGCTGTAATCCTCTTTGGCTTTTTCAATGACCTCAGTGCTCCATCATTGAATCTCCTCCTGTACAAACACAGTGTGAGCAGCACACAAGCAGCTTTCAGGTGCATTACCGCCACCTTCTGACAGCTGTAGCACATTACACCCCACCAGGCTAAAAACAAGGCAAACCTGTTTCATACTATCTGATAAATCAGGCCTCTCCTGGGTTTTCAGCACGGCTGACATTATAAAAGGTCCTGTTATGTCCCCTTGTACTTGTGCCTCTGCAACAGGAAGTGGATCACCTCCAGTGTCCAAGTGTTGATTCCTCAACTGATTTTCATTTTTGGGAAGTGGATGAAGTTGCACGGGGACAAATACGGTGAGACGTCAGCGAGGACGGTGACACAGGCACGGCTGAGAAAGCACGAACCAGAAGTTCAGGTCACTTGCCTCAGACGTCTCACGCTTCATTTACAGCGCAGACGTCCGCCCTCCAGAAACCAAACTACAGGATATACAGCAGCGGTCCCCAAGCTTTTTTGAGCCACAGACAGTTTAATGTCAGACAATATTTTCACGGACCGGCCTTGAAGGTGTCGCGGATAAATACAACAAAATAAAACGATACGACCGAGACAAAAACTGTGGTATTCTGTAAACACGAATTTACTGTGTAACTTTATTAGCAGCGTCCTCCTGAAATGCACCAACAACACTGAGAGTAACGTCCTCCTCTCTGCCCCTTAATGCTCTCTGGTCGCTATGGTAACATGTAAATATTTCTTTCAAAATAAGACACAGGAAAAGACCCGGGGAAACAGAGTTAACGATAAAAACCCTGAAACCCATAAATTTCACACC